ATATCAATTTTTTTGAAATTTTCGAAGTGATTTTTATTTTTGACTCGGTTACTTACTTATACTGGACTTATTTGAAAAATGGTTACTTACTCGCTTGCTGGACTTATTTGAAAAACGGTAAAGAGAAAATATGTTTTTAGTATTGAAAATACTACTGCGATCATTTTTATGTAAAATTAACACTGGCTGTCGCGACTTCGACATGTCAAATTGATACCGAAACAGCGATATCGCTTGAAGTAACGTAATACCTTATGATAAGACATATCTTAGTAGAAGGTGGTTAGCATAATAAACAAGATTAACCCGCGAGCGTGCGCGTCCCGGATTTTGTACCGCAATGACGGGGTTTATGGAGAACAGGTGAGTTTTTTTGAAAATTTGTATTTTTACATAAAGGAATCCATCTTTCTGAAATATTTTTAGCATTACAGTGTTGCCGCATCATTCGAAAAGTGATAGCACCTTTCTTATTTTAAAGGGAACACGAAAAAAATAATTGTTAGAAATCTAATTGATACTTATAAAGTTTAAATATTTGTCAATCTAAAGATCTTCTTTAAACGAAACAATTACAATAAAATTATTATCTTTTAAATGGCTTTACTGAAGAAACCAGAAGGTTTAGGTAGAGAAACATGATATATCGTTGAAAAGCAATTTTATTTGGGTTCTGATTTTTTAAATCATATTCATAGGGTTGAATATAAAATAACAAAGATTTGAGAAGTTTTATAGCTAACGAAAATAATTATTTTGTCTGACCTCCCTGTTTGATATCCAATCAGTTGATTTAGATAGATTGGATATGCCGACTTTCCTTAACCTATAAATCAAATTTCAGCTTTCAATATGACGAATTTATGATTTAACAAAATGATTATTCAAGATCATGTTTTTGTCAATTTTACACATGTTTTATTTTATCTCGAAAACTATCAGAGATAGGTATAGGTTAGTATAATATAAAAATTATGAGATATGAAATTAGTTTTCAAAAATGTAATAATATACCTGGTGTTTTATTTAAAATAACAAAGATATTACCACTTTTAGTAGGAAGCGGCACACTGTAATGCTGAAAATAATTTAGACAGATGGAGCAGGTGCCTTTATACAAAAATCAAAATTTTCAAAAAAAATCCTATGACCTAGTTCTCAATAAACGTCTAACGTGCCATGGCCGTGAATCACCCTGTATAATATTTATGTGTTATTTTTTTTAAATCTGAAATTAAAAATAACACAATGAAAATCATTTAAAACAATAAAATATAACAACCATGTTTATAAAATGCATTTATGAGTTTCCAGGTCTATTGCAAATGTTTATATTATAAATAAAAAAAGACTCGGTATAATATAATCTACAGAAAAACGAATAAATATTCTGGCATCCTTTTATGCCTCTGGACGTTAAGTTCCATGACAAATTTATGTTAGCAGAAAGAGTTCAGGTTTAATTCAGTCAGTGGACGCTTTTTACTGTCCGAAACTGAAGAGGGGATTTTTTTTGTTTGGTCGAGATTGAATCTAGAGTAAGATTAATGTCCTTTTGCTTGCATTATTCTCAAATATGATCTGTCAGGTACATCTATAGAAAAATATATACGGAACAATTGAAGAGAAAAGAGCAAATGGTCATAAAATATTGTATACTAATATATTTCCGCTGTTCTCTAGGCAATATAAACAGAGTAATGTAAACTTTACAGTGTTTTCATTGCAGGCAGTGTATGATTTTAACCAATTTAGTTGTATCAATAACTGTTTAATCTTTGTTTAATAGTCGACACGACACAAATATGTTTGTATTCTGTAATGAACCTTTTACTCAGATTATACAAATATTATAATTTCATAATGGTATGTGACAAAAAAATTTAGTCCATTTTCCAAATTAAAGTCCATTTGATATCACTGTAAACTTTCTAATCGAAAACTGGGAAAAATTATTCTAATATGTCTTTTTTCTGCTTCAGAACTTTTATTATTTTTATGTCATGGTTTAAATGTTAAAAAGACAGGCTGCTACTTTAAGGAACTCTAATTTGTGATATGTCAGCTTTCATTTGATCACTTATGTTGGTGGACGAAAAAAATAATGAATAGTTCAATATTTTAAATCTAAATAAGTGTAAATAATAAATTCATTGTTCAACTGTAAAAAGTCAAAATATGGGAACCGTTATCATTTTGGTCAAACTAATATATGTCAAAAGCAATCATAATCAAACTATTAGGTATACCGGGTGTTTTTCAAACGTCTCAGCTCTATAACTTTTTTATTTTTTTCAGATAAAATATCAGATTTGGTGTGTCAGTATAGGACTAGGTAAATAAGTTTTTTTATGGAATATGATAATAAGCTACCCTCGTTTCATTTAAAGAAAATTGAGTTATGATTAAAAATACGCCTTGGGCATTTTTTAACCGGTCAAGATGAGACAAAAAACATTAGATGATCAAATCCATTTTTCCAAGGCTCCTTGATGAAGAATTAGTGGTTTTAAATTTAGATTGAAATTTAAAATACTATTTTTTTTAATTGAAGATGTCAGAAGTTGGCACATGATATGCCATTCAAATCAAATAAAGTACAATACGTCGATCCGTTCTGTAGCTACGGGGCATCCGTAAGGGAGGAAACAAAATTCTTTGTTAGTTAGCAATTCATGGGCGTGTCATAAATATTTTACATAACATTACTTACTCGTACAAAAATTTCAAAAATACCCGATCAGTTTTATATTCTCAATGTTTTTTGCCACGTAAATGAGACATAATCTTAATAAAAATTAAGAAGAAAAACAATAAAAAATCAATAAAATCACCCAACTATTTTACCAATATAGAGTGCACTGTTCTCCAAGCTCAATCATTGTTTCTCGTAAAATATTAGACGACGCGTTCCCTCAATAAAAATCCGACAATTTGCAAGTAACCAATGGAGCCAGTGGGCGGAATGTGTTTTGCGGTGACATACTCAGTCAAGTCCACGTGGATTCCCTGCCGCTTGTATATAGGTAGGTAGCTATCGATTAAATATATTACTGTTTATTTAAATGTGTTTTGTAGTAAATTAATCATATTCCAATATTGTTTCCGCATTCTCGAAATCTCTTTCATAGACACAGATCCAGTAGACGTACTTTAAAAAATACCGTGGGTACCATTGAAAGATTAACATTTAAAGGAGCAACTGATTAAAAAAACAGGGAGTGACTGAAACTAACTGAATTTGGGCAATTAATCCTGATTTATGTGATTAATATACGTACCAAATCTTGTTTTTTTCCTGAAAAATTAAAATAGTAATGGAGGTGAGCCACTTTTAAAAAACATCCCTAAAAACAGCAATATAGGCAGTTATAAGCAAGAAATTAACAATTAAGTGACAAAATGAGTTTTAATATATCTCACTATACTAAATTATGCGTCTTAAAGAAACTCAGAGTAATATTATAATATTTTTGTTTAAATTTTGCTAATTGTTTGTTATCAATGGAATATTTCACAAATATACCTAGTATTATCTTTATAACATCTAAAATCACATCCACAAAGTTGTAGTTTAAATTATAATAGTAATAGTTTATATTATAACCATAGGCTGTTACTTTCAGGAACTTCAACTTGTGATACGGTCAGCTTCCATTTGATCACATAATAACTTATGGTGGTGGACGAAAAAAATAATGAATAATTCAATATTTTAAATTTAAATCATTTTAAATAATAAATTCAACTGTAAAAAGTCAAAATATGGAAACCGTTGTCGTTTTGGTCAAACTAAGAAATGTCAAAAGCAATCATAAAGAAAATATTAGGTATACCGGGTATTTTTCAAGAGTTGCTCACTCCTATAACTTTTTTATTTTTTCAGATAAAAAATCAGATTTGATGTGTCAGTATAGGACTAGATAAATCAGTTCTTTTTTGGAATATGATAATAAGCCACCCTCGTTTCATTTAAAGAAAATTAAGTTATGATTAAAAATATGATTTGGGTATTTTTTAACCGGCCAAGATAAGACGAAAAACATTAGAAGATCAAATTTATTTTAACAATGCTTCTTGATGAGGAATTATTGGTTTTAACTTTAGATTGAAATTTAATCTACTATTTTTTAATTGAAGATGTCAGAAGTTGACATATGATATGTCATTATTCAAATCAAATAAAGTACAATATGTCGATCCGTTCTGTAGCTACGGGGCATCCGCAAGGGACGAAACAAAATTCTCTGTTAGCAATTCATGGGCATGTCATAAATATTTTACATAACATTACTAACTGGTACAAAAATACCCGATCAAAACTGATCGGGTATTTTTTCAATTTTTTTTCCACGTAAATGAGACATAATCTTAATAGAAATTAAAAATTAAGGAGAAAAATAATAAAAAATCAATAAAGTCACCCAGCTATTTTGCCGATAACGACTACACTGTTCTCCAAGCTCGTACTACCGTTTTAATCGATGTTTCTTGTAAAATATTAGACGACGCATCCCGTCAATAAAAATTCTATAATTTGCCAATTACATTGTAATGTGGCCGAAACTAATTAAATACGATAATCAATTCGGATTTATATCATAAACATACATTCTAAACTCATTTTTTTATTTGCAAAAACTAAAAAAAGTAATAGAGGTGAGCCACTTTAAAAAAAAACATCCGGTATAGGCAGATATTGCATACAAGAAATTAACGATTAAGTGACTAAAGGACTTTTCATTCACTTATCTTGCTATACTAAACACATGCATCTCACAGAACTCAGAGTAACATATATTTTTTGTAATTTCTATATCGTCTGTTATCAATGAAATAAGTATTAACTTTCTTGAATATGTTCCATAAAAACGAATAAGGAAATATATAATTTCAACTAAAACCACATCCACAAAAATATCAATAGCTTATATCAAAAAAACATATTTAAAGGTATTATAAATTCATGGGGGGCAAATATAACAGGGCACATTACTCACCTGCGCTCTCTACATATTTTACTAAGTGGAAAAGCAACAAAAATAATGGAAACGTCAGGACACTGATAATTTTCCTCATTTCTCTTTTCTGGTTTATACGGCATTTTGGTCGTTTTGATTCGAACCCATTCCTCTTGCGCCTGTTGATATCGCTGCGGGAACGTTACATTTCAACGTACGTCGGACGTAGATAAGCTTTTCCATAACACAACAATCTGGAAAAATAGAAGAGAATGCGATAAAATATCATTTATCATCATTCACACATACTGTACTTTAAAACACTCCTTGGCAATTCGAAAATACCGCCTCGGATTAGGAAAGTAATTTATCAACGTAAGACCAGCTATAATTCAATACACATAGCCGCTGATTCAGTTTCTAGATCTTAAGGCTTACATTTTTAAAAGCTCGTAATGTACCAACATAAATCAACCTTAACCGATTGTCGGTTGTTCTTCAAGTATCATAATATATACCTGTTATTTCATCTAATTCCTATATTTATATTATGCTAAATAAAACGCACATTTTAAATATAGCTGATAAGAATTACCTTAAAAGTATCTCTATAACTTTATAAGTATAAATATATAACAGCATATTCTGCAGATAAAAATAAGTAAAAAAGTTGGTATAAATGTATATCCTAAAATATTTAGAGATACAGAGTGTAGAAATTTCATTTTTATTTCGATTTTTTCCAAATAATTTCTGAAGTAATGTCTACATTTAAATGAAAATTGGTGTCTAGAAGTTTTTTGACATGAGAAATTTGATTTTGATGTCAATATGACTCCTATTTGTAGGGGACGCCACCTACATGTGTTTTAACTGTTTTGAAGAGTAATAACTTTTCGTCTGTGCCTGTATAGAATTGCTGAGTAAAAAAATATACATTTGCGTGATTTTTTACAATGTCTCTTGATAAAAATCGCTACGAGCAATAGTTCTCAAGATGTTTAGAATTGAAATAGTCAATACATGTCATTATTGACAAAAAATGAACATGTTGAGTAGATAGTTACTTGACTGAAATAATAAATTATTTTATTTTTTTAAATTAATCATAAATTTTTCATCGAAAAAATGATGATAAAATAGTTTCCGTTGAACTTTTGTCACAAAAACATTTCAAATTTATGATTTAAACAAAAAATATTTGACTGACAAACAGTCCACCATAGGCTGTTTTTAAGAATCGGGTGTTATTGAATAAAAATTGTGATTTTTTTTCATATAAATGGCTGAAAATTGATATATTTATGTATAATTAAAAATTAAACAAATTATTCTAATAAGTTTTAGGAAATTCGGTCAGTAGCACAATTCGTTACTATTTGTTTCTTTAAATTTAAAAATTTCAACGATTCAATTCAAAGCAAAAACTATTATAGAAGTGAAATTCCACATCAGTAAATAAAAAAATCCCATATGATGCGGACTTTATCTTAGACACTCTATATGTTCTCCCTATTAATACAGTAAAAAAGCAAATGTATACACGTATGTATGTATTTACATTAATGATGCAGCTTCGTCGCTTTCTGATAAAAGCATAACTATTTTATAAACAGATGTGTATCACAGCAAATTAAGTTGTGAACAAAATTTGACGTCCCATGTAAATGATCTTAGTTTTTTGATTAAATGTACTCAATGAACATACTGTCAAAAATTATAATTCTAATGAATATAATTTATAAAATATAAAGTGGATACGGAATATTTTTGGTACATTTCACAGTAAAAATACTGTAACCTGAATAAAAATACATACATGTTTTTTGTTAAACTTATATCTGCAATTAAATACACAGAATAGTTAACATAGTTAGCATAAATTTAAGAAAAAAAAATCTAAAAGCTAATATATTGTTGGAACAATTAAATTATAGAGATAAAGCTTCTATTAAGAATGAAAAATAAATCATATTAAGTGCAATTAATATTAAAACTAAAAACTTTCAAAAACGATTCACATGTATAAACTTATCAGCAAGTGTATTATTCCTACATAATTTTTATCTGAATATAGCACGAAATTGAGGTGTTTAATAATAGATATCGTTTATTTTCTGACCAAAAATGAAAACTATTTCATTAAGTAACTATACAGCGGATAAGCAACCTTTGGCATATATTTGTGATATGTGTCATAAGCTTTTTCACAAGTAATCGAGGCCTAGATTTTACTGCCAAATACAAACAGGCAGATATACAAAAGGTAGTTTGCCAGCGCCTTACTCAATCTGACATGGCGGGTCGATGGTTGCTCTATTTAATAGAGCGGATACCTGAATACTGTTTTTTTTGGGAATATCTAAGTATATTTATAATAATTTAGAAAATCTAGGAACTAGTGGGGTTGCAGTCGGAAGGGTTTGACATAGAATTAATATACTTTGTTAATTGTCAAGCTTTGAATTGAAAGTCAATTGAATTTTTAATCGAACATCTCTCAATTATTCCAATGTTTTAAATAAATATCAGGCAGCTTAACCGCCCCAAGAAAGCCCTCTCTTTTTTATGGTTGACTGGTCATCGCTGACCAGTCAAGTTTCACCGTGGAGTTTTCAATACAAGCCAATTTTTTAATGTAGTTTTTTATGAAGGTCTCTTGTACCACGTTAATGTCCTGAGGAAGGAATGAATAAATTCCGAAAGCTTGACAATTAACAAAGTGTATTAATTCTATGTCAAACCCTTCCGACTGCAATTCCACTAGTTCCTAGATTTTCTTTCTCACTAATCAGTCGAGACTACTTTCTGCTTATAATAATTTATATATCCAAAAAAATCCTTATGGGTTTTTCGCCACTGCACTGCAAGAAAAATCTACAAAATAAAATAGTTATTTTTTGTAAACACTTCTGCGTTAAACCTAAACGGACGCTGCTTGTCAGAAGTTGTGTTTACAGCAATAAAAATTTGCCTAACAAAGAAAAAAATGCTTAACGTTTCGGAAAGTTTTCTCTTTCCGTCGTCGGAAGCAAAAAAATATAAAGAATTAAGAAAAAAACTATTTAAAATATTTAAATTGAACTTGATTGTTTATACTTCTCTGTGTAGTGTAAGGTATATGTAGTCTTATGTTGTCTTTTAGACCTATAGTCAGTAGTATAAATTCTCCATGCCATCCGTTAGCAAAATTTTTACTAGACATATTAAATCCGATTGCAAATAACACCGATTCATACATTAAAAACACACCACACTTTATAGAAAAAAATTCAAAAATTAATATAACACCTAACAGTTTAATGGTTAGTTTTGACGTTGTTAGTCTTTTCACTAATGTGCCGGTAGATAAATCACTTAAAATAGTTAGGGATAGATTAGAACAAGATACACATTTAATAGATAGAACAAAATTAAACATAGATAGTATTTTGGAATTGTTGACACTTTGTGTTAAAACTACTTATTTCCAATTAAATAATGAATTTTTTCAACAAGATTTCGGTATGGCAATGGGATCACCTCTCTCTCCTTTGTTAAGCAATATATTTTATGGAAGATTTTGAAAATAATACAATAAATAGTTTTTCAAAAAGCCTGTAATATATGGCTGCGTTATGTTGATGATATTTTTGCAATATGGCAACATAACGTTTCTGAAATAGACATTTTTTTGGAATATATAAATTCTCGCGAACCTACCATAAAATTTACTTTAGTAGTAGAGAGAGGTAATCGTTTGCCATTTTTTGATGTTTTAGTGTCAAAATTTCAAAATAAACTAATTTTAGATGTTTACAGAAAACCCACAAACACAGATAGATACTTAAATTTCACATCTAATCACAGTATAAGTGTAAAAAAAGGTGTTATAAAAAGTTTATATGATAGGGCAAAAATAATATGTACAGATGACATTTCACTAAACAAAGATATAAACCACATAAAAAATACATTAATAAAAAACGACTATCCACCATATTTTATTGACAAAACACTAAACGAAATACAAACCCCAAATCATAGACACAAAGATAACAATACACAATATATACAACTTACAATTCCATACATACGAGGCGTTTCGGTAAAAATAAGAAGGATAGGAAAACAATATAACATACAAACATCTTTCAAAACACAAAATACACTTAGATCAATTTTATCACATACTAAACCAATGAATACAGAACAATTAGCCTCTAAAAGAAAAATAAAAGAGGCTTTTTTAATTCAATCTAATAAAAATAAATGTATTGCTCATGCATCTGTAGATGTTAGTAATGTATGGCAATCGCTTCTTTGATTTTAAAGAACATTACATAAATAAACATAACATACGTAAAATTTAAAAATAATCATACAGAAAGTTTGGGCTTTTTGGTTTTACCTTATTAAGTAATTATCAGGTAGTAATTGCTAATTTTGAAGTTTAACTTAATATAATGTCATTTTAACAGAACGTCAACGATTTCTTGTAGACGTATCTGTTTTAAAAAGTAAAGTGTTCTCGAATAGTTCAATTTAAATATTTTAAATAGTTTTTTTCTTAATTCTTTATATTTTTTTGCTTCCGACGATGGAAAGAGAAAACTTTCCGAAACGTTAAGCATTTTTTTCTTTGTTAGGCAAATTTTTATTACTGTAAACACAACTTCTGACAAGCAGCGTCCGTTTAGGTTTAACGCCAGAAGTGTTTACAAAAAATAACTATTTTACTTTGTAGATTTTTCTTGCAGTGCAGTGGCGAAAAACCCACAAGGATTTTTTTGGATAGATGAATTCGCCACATAGGTATAGACATTTTTTAATAATTTATATATTTCATTGTAATTTTATTAGAGATACTTATTAAATTCTCACCCATAATTAAATATATTATTTGTGAGAAAGTTTTATATTATTATTGTAATATATTAAGCAGAATAATAGTGCAATCGATTAAATTATATAATAAATTTAGATATAATATATAACATACAGCCTAGATTATCTTTAATATCAAGAAATCAAACTGTACGCTTATTAGGAATGTGTATAGGAAAATAGAAAATTAAGTTTGGTTAACCAATAAGATTGTTTTATTAATCTATTTCTAACTGATTTTCCGCTTTATTAAATCCGGGCCAATTAAAATTAATAACTTCCAAACAATATATCTTGAACGCACATCTTGGTGAAATGCAAATATCAATTTGTATTCTAAAATATTCAAACATTTCAGCAAACTTTACGATTCAATTTGTAAGAATAA